TTCTTGCACATGATTGGGTATTTGCAAACTGAAGCGTCACCTCACTTACTAAGCTCTGGAGCAATCTATTTGCCTTTAGTAAATCCATCCCATAGAGTATTCACATAACTGTCTGTGATGTGCAATTTAAATCCATCCATAGGAATGTACCCATAACTTCCCCTCACTCATCCATCCTTTTCCAGGCACCTCTCATAAGAGACATGATGATGGGAAAAGTATTTTGGCTGCTGCTAGCAACAAACTTCATTCGGGTTGTCTGTGCATTTTTGAAAATTTTCCTTGCACGTGATTGGGTAGCATTGCAAATTAAATCCTTACCTCCTTCTCTGAGCTCTGGAGCAACTGCACCTGCAAAGTTCACAGTCTATTTTCCTTTAGTAAATCAACCCCACAGTCTATTTGTATCAGAGTCTGAGAGGCAGCTTGATAGAGTGCAGTGCCACCTTCTGTCACTGTGTATCCGTGTGGAGGACTGATACATGTTGCATTGCTTTAAGATCTTTTTGCCAGTTACCTTGTGCCAATTTATAACAAGGGAAGATCTTTCTTACACAGCCGTAGCTGCTGAATCATGTCCAGTTCCATGGAGTGTATTCAACTCTTGCTGTCCCTCTCCCTTAAAGGGAGTCCATCCTCTAAAAAATTATCTGTGGTGGATCACTTTTCAGAGGGTGCTATAGAAGCAAGAGCAGTGCTTCTTGAACCCTTTTTTTTTTTTTTGTAAATAGCAATTTTCCACTTCAAGGCCATGGCGCAAGCATTTGGCTCGCAGTTGCAATGTAATATTATTGATCTTAATGAGCAAGTCTGACAGGTGGCAACTTTGCAGCATGAGTTAAAAATGCAACAAAGAGAAGCATTGCAGCCATAGCATGTGTACATCTCTGTCAGACTGCAATGTTAGAATTCTGGGAGGTGGCCAGGGGACAGTAAAACAGTGGCTAAGCTGCTTGGTTCTACCACCACACAACCCCCACGTTTCCCCAGCAGCTAGGATGAAAGAGCCCTTGGTGTCTTTTACTGGATTTACTGGATGATCTGCTGGACAGAATTGTGGATTTTCAGGTTTTTGATTGGTACAAACATGGTGACCAATATTGTGATCAGGAATGATGGACGGTTCAAATCATCCACTCAGTCCAGTTATTGAATATGAAAGACTCGGATTACAGGCTCTGGGCTCCCATTTGATTGGGAACCAATATTCTGATTGAGACAATTGTATTTATTGCTGTGTACATGTGCATATGTAATGATATATACATGTCTAGAAGGTAGAACAAGGCCAGATATATTTACTGGTCAGAGACTGTGATACCCTCAGGATGGAAATAGGTAAAATCATTGTAATCATTTATTTATTAGGAATAAGTAATCTAGCCGCAACTAACCGAACAATGTCTCCTGAGAGATTGCAGACAATTGCCAGGATTTAACCATGCCATGGGGAGGGAAGGGGTAGACTAGTTGGGGATTTGATTTATAAAAAATTAATTGTATGATCTGAGTGCTGTTTATTCCCCTCTTCTGGTTCAGTTTTTCTGGCACAATTAATATAGGTTGGGGAACGCACCCCACTACATTGGGTGGAACATTTAGGGGTGTGGCAAATACATTATTATTCTTTAATTTTTACATAAAAAGTTGTGGGGTGATGGTGACCCTGGAGGAAGGGAGGAGGGGGGGGGATGATTAGAAGTAATCTGCTCGGTGTTACATACCTAGGTATGTCCCCCATCACAGTACATAGGTGTTAAGAAATCTAAAGATGGAGCAGAGGTTGTAATGTGTATGGCCATTGTAATATATGCTGTATCTATAACCAGCTGGGGAGAGTTTCCTTTTGGATATTTGTGGCCGGGATGGGGGCTCATAGGAGGGAATGTTATCTACACATACACACTATGACAAGCCAAGGTCTATGGGAGTTTTAATAGTCAGATGACACACTTCTTCTCTTCCCCTAACCTGCACTATATTCATGCCCACCACTAACTTTTACATGTCCAGCGCACCATTGGCGAATCAGAAAGCGGCAAGGCAGAATGGCTGCCCATATTCTGTCCTGAGGGCAGTGCTCTGCTTCTACAAGTTAGCAGGGATGTGGGATTACTACAGGCAAAAACGTGATTGTGCTGGGCTAAAAGGACTCATAGCCAGAGCCACATTAACACTGAACTTACGATTTATCATACCCTAACTTGTGCCTCTAGAGCGCTGTCTTGCTTTTCTCTCCTAGCCGCTTCCTGATTCGCTAAAAGTCCTTAAGGGCGGTGCTCTAGTTCTAGAGGTGGTGGGTGGGGTTTGTCGGCTACAGTGAGAGAAGCAGAACTGGGTGCTGTAAGGAGAAATTGGGCGCAGGATGGGCGGAAGTTAGGTGCTAATGGGGCGTAGGATGGGCGGAAGTTAGGTGCTACTGGGGCGTAGGATGGGCGGAAGTTAAGTGCTAATGGGGCGTAGGATGGGCGGAAGTTAGGTGCTAATGGGGCGTAGGATGGGCGGACGTTAGGTGCTAATGGGGCGTAGGATGGGCGGAAGTTAGGCATTATTGGGGTGCAGGATGTGCGGAAGTTAGGCGTTAATAGGGTGCAGGATGTGAGGAAGTTAGGCGTTAATAGGGTGCAGGATGTGCGGTAGTTAGGCACTAATGGGGCGTAGGATGGGCGGACATTATGCGCTAATGGGATGTCAGACATGCGCCCCGTTTGCCATGCTTTTCCCCCCAATCCCCGCTCTACATCCCCCATTTTCATGACTGCTGAGGAGCATAGGCTTGAATCCTAACTGATAATACCTTAACCTTGCCCATATAAGAAGACACACGTAGTATAATTTAGCTGGAAAAGAGGCAAGGCCACAGCTTTATTTGAATTCAAACACAAACCATTTTCAAATAAAACCATTTTAACCAGTGCCAATCACAGTTGTACTGTAAGCACATTTTACCATTAGGTTAAACAAGTCTAAAGAGGTCTGTCCTTGCCATAAGTGCTGGACAGACATTAGACCAATTCCAACTTCCAATCAATGGTATAGCCCATTACAGCAACGTTTATCCGCCACCCGCACGTCAGCGGTTAACTGACAAGCGCCCCACCACAGCCAGTGCCCATTCCATACCATGCTGAAGGCCTAGATTTAAACATATCAAGGCCAATATCATTCAGGTCAATGCCATCCGGCCTCAGCAAACCATCATTCACACCCTCCAAATCTCTATGGGAGAACCACAATTCCTCCAATGCTCCGAACAAATTTGGACACTTGAGCATTAACTTTCCAACAAAAACATTCCAAGCATGGGCCCGGAATATGGTGGGCCCACACCAATCGAGGAACAATAGCACACCAAACAATAACTAAGTTGTTAAAAACTGCATAACAATGGGCAATGTCCTTTTTGATGGCAGAAATTAAATTGACCGAACGGGAGTAACCGACGTTGTTCCCCCCAGCATGGAGGACCATGATAATGGGGCCTAAACATGGGAGTGGAGACGTATGCATTCTGGTAGTACTTGCTAACAGTATACACCTCACAACCCATGCCAATGGAGTCTGGCGACTTCACAGGCAAATCCCAAATTTTTTCTGTAGCTCCGAACTTCTGCAGGGCGGGAAGCCCAATAAATGAAAGAATCCCCGATGATCCAAATCAGGGGTGGAGAGGAACCTGAAATCAAGACAAGTGCAGACGAATATATAAAGAAAGGCAAGAAGATTCCCAACTCTTCCAAATGTAGTTCTTCAAATGTCAAGATTTTACCTCAGAACATCCTTATAAGTAAGTTCAGGCCCCACCCCCCTCTCCTCACACCATATGATTAATATTCTTTGGACAATTTACATATCACGTGTAACCACACCCAACTCCCTGCCATGCCCCCATCAGTCAAGGCTCCCTTTCTCTATAAAGGTGACGGGAGCCCTCATTGTAGCTTGCAAACCACAATTGGGAGAGAATATAGAAGTGGAGTCTACTTTGCTGCCTCCTGATAGGCTGTCTGTGGCTCACAAGGCTAAAGAGAGCTATCACTAGGTGCGCTGTGTGGGTGAGGATGTGCTGAGGTGATGGGTGAAGGTGCTGCAGAGCGGACTGAACATCTGTTAACAGAAGCTCACAACAGAAGCCATATTGCCCCCCCCCCTTCTATTTCACCCTCTGCCCCTCTCTCACCCCCCTCTGTCTCCCTCGCACCCCCTCTCTTCTTCCTCACATCCCCCTCCTCCCTCCACCCTTCTATATTTCACCCTCTGCCCCTCTCTCTCACCCTCCAGCCCTCTCTCTCGCCCTCCTCTATCTCCCCCCCTTTTATTTCACCCTCTGCCCTTCCATCACCCTCCTCTATCTTCCCCCCCCCTTATATTTCACCCTCTGCCCCTCTCTCTCACCCCCCTTTTATCTCTCACCCTCCACCCCTCTCTCTCACCCCCCTTTGCCTCTCACCCTCCACCCCCTCTCTCTCACCCTCCTCTATCTCTCCCCCCCCCTTTTATTTCATGCTCTGCCCATCTCTCTTTCTCTCACCCCTCTCTTTCTCTCTCCCCCTTACTATCCCCCCCTCTCACCAACCCCTCTCTATTTAAATTTTGTAAACATTTAATTTGTTTTAACAAGAAATTGTTTGCATTTTCATTTTTTTCTACAAAAAGGCCCCCCATAATCCTCAGCACCAGGCCCATGATGTTCTTAATCCGGTTCTGTGTCTACAGGACAGGAAATAAAGGAAAATATCTCCAAAGAGGACACAGAGAGCAACAAAAACAACCAGAGTTTGAACCCTTCTTTCCAAAATCTATGGCCATGTATGATAACGCAGCATCATTGGAAAGCTTGTACCATCCTAGATGACATCTATGTTTGTACAGGGAGTCTTCAGGTGGTTTGCCAGAAGCCCAACAGCAAAAGACGGTTCACCTTTACATCCACATTTATTTACAATGTATCCACAGCCATTATATACAATTATTTCCACATCCCAACAGCCCTCTGTGTGTTACGTCCATGGGAGGAAATTGACATGTAAGGCTGTCCCAATCACCCAGTACCCTAAGAAATAGCCCAGCAGAATCTGCGTCCGTGTTTGCAGTGAGTTCCAGGCCCGGAGCAAGCGAACAACTGGATTGGAAGCCTCCTTATTTCTCTGCAAGCCCCATATCCAAGGCTCATTCTCCTCAATCATATGAGAGCAAAACCAGAGGAGCACAGGACAGGAAGAGAAGAGTAGTCGGGTGACAACCTGTACAAGAGAAAAAAATGTCTGGCATAAATGGTTTCTGAAAATTCTTACATCATACACATCTCAACTAATAAAATACCATTAAATGCATACTGTATATGGGGAGCATTCAAGTATTTTCTGTTTTAAACTTTTAGAAGTCCTGCCTAAGAGAAGTCACTCTACGATTCCAGTTATTCCCTGCTGACTGAACACAGTAAATGATCTTTAGTAATGATGGGTAGTCAGAGATCATGTGATCACTGCCTAGGCCTTAGATCTAACCAGGGCCGGGTCTAGCTCGTCTGATTTGGGCGTGCAGTAAAAAATGTCAGGTGGGCAGAGGATGGGAGGTCAACAACAGGGGAGAGTACAGGGGTCATTATGGCAGTGTACAAGTCGCAGGGCAGAAAATGTATAATATGTTTCTGAAGGAAAACTTTAAACAGTATAAACAATATGTAAACATTGACAATATTAACAGTACTCATAACAAGTAATCTGACTGGCTTACAATTAAAATGTCAAGACAGCATAACAAAATGTGAACAAGACTAGAATTATGAAAGACATGGAGCACCCTGGGACAGAACAGAAAAAGTTCTGCGTCTGGCCAGTAGGGGGTCTTAAAGGGGGATTGAACAGAATCTGAACCTACTAAGTCTCACAGATACAAATAAACCTCAGGACAAAGGATTTGTTTTTATGCACACAAAAAGGATATTTTTATCTTAGGCACTGGCTGAATTATGATCCATTTATGGGAAGGCTGGTTGTACAAAGGTTGATCTACCGATTGACGTCTGTACAACCAGCCTCTAGAAAACTTTCCACTTAATCAGTGCTGCTGGCTGTGGCTGGCAGTAGTGATCAGTGTATTCTGACAGCAGGGAAGTCTCCCAGCTATCAGAACACAATACCTCAGCAGGAGTGATACCCTCATCCATCTTGAATATGTGGATGGGAGAATCGGCTCATTTTTTTTTTTTTGTTAAACAAAAAAAATTACTAATGTATGTGCTGCCTTACTGAGCCCACCTTAAAGAAAATTGGAATAAAACCAGCAACTGTTGAGACAATGAAGACCTTGATCAGGTCTATGTACAGCATAATGTATAGAGTACTGGGGTCAGGAGCAAGTAAAAAACAAAACAACATATGGACTGCAGCAGTCAAGATGAGCACCACATTCACATCAGAGTATTCCCTTACATCAAAGTCCCCAGCTTTCCCCCTATACAGAGTCCCCCCTTACATCAGTGTCCCCAGAATTCCACCACCTTACATCAGAGTCTACAGAGTGGCCCCTTACATCGGCGTTCAACAGAATGTCCCTTTACATCAGAATCCAGTAGATTGTCCCCTTACATCAGAGTTAGTTGTCCCTAAGTGCTAACTGGACATGCAATCAGCTAGGCAAGTGTGTAAAGCTCCTGGAAGAACAAAGGGGAGGTGGTGTACAGAAAGGAGGGAGATGGGGAATATTCAGTGAACTGCTCACTCGCCCCGGGCTGGAATCTGAAGGCTCAGGCAGAAGCATCAGTCATGCAGCCACAATGGATCTGCTGGTTGCTGGCTTAAATCTCCTTTTTCAGGCACAGCTCCAGCTGCACATAGGAGACTGCAGTGTAGACGGGGCAGAGACAGGGGCAGGAGGAGGTGGAACAGATCAATGCTCTCTCCTCTCCCTTTTGTGCAAGGAGCGATGGGTGGTGGATGTGCTGGCTGGGCTGTGTGAGAGTGGTGGGACCCACTGATCTGCATGTACTGAAGCAAATAGCAGCACAGCCACGGTGGCGGGGCACACATGTGTGCCCCCTACCTGGATGTACATGTATGTGATCCGACGCAGAGGGGCCCACATGACGCAGTATATAAACAACTCATTAAAGTAATAATGTGATTTTGTAAAACACTGACATTTGCCCTCTTGTTTATGAAGTGTGACTGTAAGGCCACCTTTCCACCTGTCTGGTGTGTTACTGCAAGCACAGTAACATGCTGGCATTTCACCAAAAAATGGACATACCCTTTTTTTAAACACTTGCCCTTCAGAGGATTTACCCCCCTTTCCTGACCAGGCCGTTTTTTTGCGATACGGCTCTGCGTTACTTTAACTGACAATCATGCAACACTGCACCCAAATAAAATTTATGTCCTTTTTTTCCCACAAATTGAGCTGTCTTTCGGTGGTATTTGATCGCCTCTGCAGTTTTTATTTTTTAAACAAAAAAATACCGACAATTTTGAAAAAAAAAATCCAATATTTTTTAATTTTTGCTATAAAACATATCAGGTAAAATCTAATTTCGTCATAAATTTAGGCCAAAATGTATTCTGCTACATGTCTTTGCTAAAGATAAAATCCCAATAAGTGTAAATAAATTGGTTTACGTGAAAGTCATAGCGTCTACAAATGGCGGTATATATACTGGAATTTTTTTTTTTGTATACTAGTAATGGCGGCAATCAGCAACTTATAGCGGGACTGTGGCGGGCATTCTGACACTGGGAGGGGGGAACTGACTAACTACCACTGACATCCCCATTGACACTAATAGAGTGTCCAGTGCTAATAACTGACACTGTACTATTGACACTGACACTGTACTATTGACACTGACACTGACACTGTACTATTGACACTGGGCAGAAAGGGGTTAACATCTGGGGCGATCAAAGGTTTAACTGTGTGCTGTTTTACTATGTGGCCTTACTATTTATGCATGCTGCTTTGTATTGCTGTGCTATGCAGAGCAATACAAAGCAGTGTGCTGGAACTGACAGGGGAGAGATCTGTATTGTTTACATACAGACCTCTCCCACGTCAGTGATACTCAAAGATTGCTGGGGCCGATGGGGAATCTCCGGCCGGGACACGGTGATTGACAGCTGTAGCTGTCAATGTAGCGCTTTATTTGGCCACATATAGTGAAGAGAAGTCATCCTTTGTATGTTTAGACATAGAACTCACACAAACCTGCAGAATCTGTTCCAGTCCCCCTGTGACTTCACTGTGTCTCTGAGTTGCCAAGCACCAGTGCTGTCACATGAGAGAGAGGGGAATGAATCACATACGCTTTCATACTTTATCAAGATTCTTGATAAATGGCAGTGGAAAGGTATGTGCTGCTGGTTGGGACACTGTAAAAGGAAACATGGATATAGCACAGGTCATTTTAAAGTGTGAATGTTACGAAATCACCATTCTCCTTCTAGCTACACCCCAGCATCAAGGGTTGTTCTTGGTCTTATACCTGCACATGCATGCACAGCGCTCCAAATGCTGTCAGGAAGAAGAGTTGAGCAACATAGACAAACACTTGAGGTCCATAGAATCCATAGTTGTCCTTTTTCCGCACATTCCATAACCCCAGAGTGCTGCATAGTACCATGTTAGAGGAAATATATCTGAATGTTGCACAGATCCCAAGAAATATGACTGGGGTAGCCAAAAGGAAGTTGGGTATCTGCCGTAGCTGGAAGTAGCGGAAGAGTCCAACACCCCAGTATTCACTCTGGATGTGGGAATACGCCAGTGGAAAATGGTACGAACACCAGACAGGAGCTGGCTCTCCACGCACTCGGTATCCCTTGTCTTTTGCCAGTTGTATGAGCTCTTCAGGTAGGTGACCTTCTCCGAAGGATGGGAAGCAAAATCTATAATAACAATACCCTTGGAAAACAGCAAAGGGTAGAATCATTATAAAAATTCCACACAGTCTTTTCATCAATGGCCCACAACGACCACTCGGCTGTAAAAACACCTTCATCCCAGAGTGTACCAAGAAGCCAGCATTCACCAGTCCATTGGAACGGGCTGCCGTAGCCAGCGAGAGAAGCGCACTGCCAGCTAGCAATCGATTCTTCTGCAACTGCCACAAACCGCTGAATGTGGCCATGGCAAACAGGCTCTCTGAGTAGGCAACAGTCATGAAGACTGAAATAGGACTCATACAAAATAAAAGTGCAGCCAGGAAGGCCGTACGTCGGGACTGCAGAGTCATACGTCCCAGGAGGTATAAAAAGACTGCAGCCAGGGTTGAGCAAGCACAGTTTAGGAGGGCGGAGGAAAGCAGCAACCGACTCCTCAAGGTTAGCACCCCTGCCAAGGGCAGAAGAGGCCCCCGTGCCAGCCCTGTGATAACCATTGGGAGCAGTGGGAAGAAAGCCGTGTTGTGTTCATATTCATAGCCATGCTCTGCTATGAATAGAAAGTGTTCTGCATCCCAGCGGCCCAAACCTCTCAGAAGGAGCTCTGCTATGTGGTCACCAAGAGAACTTGGAGGTGGTCGTGGTGGAGAAAAGGCATCAGCGGTGTGGTCTGGTATCAGGAGATTGAACAAAACCTGGAAGAATCACAGAAACACCATTAGAATTTATAAACAGTCTGTTCCACTATCAGGGAGATTTCTTCTCACTTCCTGTCAAGGTGATGTGAAGAGAAATCAACTTTAACTAAAAAAATATACATGCATTTACAAAATATAATCTTCTTACCTGCATCATCAAGGTGAGGCCACGACAAGACAAAGAGAAGCGTATGATCTCATGCACAAACGGGTCATGGCTTCCCCACATTTCCTGATGGCTACCACAAAGTGTATATCTGGAGGGACAGAGAAAATGTAACTTGAATGATGGAGAAATACAGATCAAGCTAATGCATTTTGTGCCATAGAGAAAAAAAGAGTTATGTCTGTGTACTTAAAACTGAAATTTTTATTTTGACATAGATGGACATGGCCAGCATTAGAAAGTCAGTCAGGTTTTTAATTCTGTTGGATGCCTGATGGTGAAATTTAACCTCACTTCCTGTTCTGGTGATCACCATCCCCTTGATAGGAAATGAGGGGAAATCTCCCCAAAGGAATGCTTTTTATATTTATTACAGGTACTTATACAGTGCTGTCAATTTACGCAGTGCTTTACGTATATTTACCTCATCGCAGGCTCTCCCCTCTTCAGTCTATCATGAATGCTGCTGCCAGACTCATCCACCTTACTAACCGTTCTGTATCTGCCACCCCTCTCTGCCAATCCCTCCACTGGCTTCCCATTGCACAATGGATAAAGTTCAAAACATTAACAATAACATATAAAGCCATTTATAACTCTGCCCCAAATTACATCACCAATCTTGTATCCAAATATCACCCAAACCGTACTCTCCGCTCCTCGCAAGACCTCCTGCTCTCTAGCTCCCTTGTCTCCTCCTCCCATGCTCGTCTCCAGGACATCTCTAGAGCTTCCCCCTATCCTCTGGAACTCTCTACCCCAATTTATCAGACTATCGCCTACTCTGCCTTCTCTGAAAGCCTATCTCTTCAGGGAAGCCTATCCTGCCCTCAGCTAATAATCGACTCTTCTATTCCTCCTACCAGTCCATCCCCCACAGTTACTACCCTTTGTACCACTAGCCCCTCCCTCTTAGATTGTAAGCTCCAAGGAGCAGGGCCCTCCTATCCCTCTTGTATTGAACTGTATTGTTGCTGTATTGTCTCCCGTTTTATTGTAAAGCGCTGAGCAAACTGTTGGTGCTATATAAATCCTGTATAATAATATATATGTTGTACATTCACATCAGTCCCTGCCCCAAGGAGCTTACAATCTAAGGTTCCTAACTCACATTCATACATACACATATTAGGGCAAATTCAGACCAAAGCCAATTAACCTACCAGCATGTCTTTGGAGGGTGGGAGGAAACCCGAGTACCCGGAGGAAACAGACACAAGGAGAGCATGCTTTGGCTGGAATTCCACATTATTACATTAATATACAGCAACAGCCACATGAGATTGCTGCCCCTTGTAAAGGCTCTTTCACACTCTGAACAGCAGGGAATCCTTGAGCAGATCTCCTGCTGAACAGGACAGATGTCAGTTTTTTGACATCTGTGCCCCTTCAGTTTGTGTCATTTACACAGTGGGCACAGGCAGACCTGTGATGGCTCTGTGTCAGGACGGATGTAAATGGATTTCTGTCCATTTAAATCCGGCTACCTCCAATCTATCACATTTAGGTCCACAAAATGTTAAAGGACTTTTTTCTGGATGGATTTGGAGGTAGGCGGTTGTAAACAGACACAGGTCTAATAAGAACTGCCTGTCCATAGAGCTGCATAGAGCTTCTGATCTGGTTCCACATGAAGAACAGTTCTGCAAACACAGCGGTGACTCCAGCTGGGACATGGTGTTATACGGGCTGGGAGTCATGCTAACTTGGCATGCTGGGAGTTGTAGTTCCACACAGGCAACATGTTACTTTTATTATACAGAGATGGCAGGGACACGGGGGGCAGAAACAAAAGGGATGTCAGTGTGCAATGCTGGGATGTGCTATTCTAATGGTGGCCAGAGGCTGTATCTGGAATTAAAGGGATGGTCAGCCATGACGTCTGCACTTCACGTACGTACCCGGCCAGGAGCTTCAGCAATGCACCATCACACAAGGAAATACATAAAGAGGGAGAACCTGATCCTTCCTGAGTGCATTCATTTCCTGTTTACATTCATATACAGCTGTAATACCGCCTCCATGGTGTTGTCACAAGGTCACATGACCAGAGCAGTCTGCACGTAACCCTTTCATCTCCAGGAAGAGGTGTACAGTTGCACAATGGTGTGATTTGTTTCCCCACTAGGGACATTCACCCACTGGGTGTCCATGTCACTGAAACAGGAAGTTATGGGAAATCAATCATTTTACAGTTGTCACCAGAAAAAGAGGTTAGAGGAAATCTGTTCTGGTGACAACTAGGAGTTGGTTTCCCCTAACTTTGGGGAGATTTCCTCTCACTTCCTGTGTTATTACCAGAAGAGGGAAATCTCATCTACATAAACACATTTCATCTAGGACATAGACAACAAAATATTTAGGGCCTATTCCTGTGTAATTCACATGCAGTTCTGTACAGTGTGATTTCAGTAGGGTTGCCACCTCATCCCTTTAAAACCAAACACATATGAATTGCACAGATCCTGAGGCTGCTTTGTAATGCAGATAACACACTAAGTGATTTTAATTACCACTTTAACCACTCGCCCTCCAGAGGATTTACCTCTCTTCCTGACCAGGCCAATTTTTACAATATGGAGCTGCGTTACTTTAACAATTGCGCGGTCGTGCAATGCTGCACCCAAATGAAATGTATGTCCTTTTTTCCCGACAAATAGAGCTTTCTTTCAGTGGTATTTGATCACCTGTGCGTTGTTTATTTTTTTGTGCTATAAACAAGAAAGTCCGACAATTTTGAAAAAAAACAAAAAAAAAACAATATTTTTGACTTTTTGTTATTAAACACTTCCCGTTCTACCCATGTACATAATCGGCAGGACAGGAGCAATGCTGAAGCGGGTTGCCATTTATAAATGGTCCCCGCATTCACTGCCTGTGCGTGCTCCCTGTCCTCTGAACATAGCAGAACACCGATCGCTGTACGGGACCTCTATGTGAGGTCCCGATCATGTGATCACCGATTGGCCAATCAGTGATCACTTGAATAGTAGTAAGAAAGATGTCACTTGCTGACATCATTGCTTACTACATGTGAAATCTGTGGAAAAAAAAAAAAAACAAATCTTCATCACCCCCCACAAGTAGTACAGTGTCACTATGGTGACACTGTACTGCTAGGGTAACGGTATGTTAAATATAAATAAATAATATAAAAAATAAAATAGAAATGTAAAAAAAAAAAAAAAAAGTGAAAGAAAATTGCGTGACCATGAAATCCTATGGAAATCTTCACACTGATCCGTTGAAGGTCTGCTGCATTTAGTAAAATCCTGCTTGCTACATTTTTGTTGCAGGTTTGGTGTGGTAAAAAAGAACGCACCAAAAATGCACCTCCCACTGAAATGCATAGAAAACGCATCAAAAACGCACCTGCGTTGTGTTTTTGATGGGTTTTTTTAGTCACATGTCCTGTGTAAAACGTGGTAAAAATGCACATGCGTTTTTTAGCACATTTTTGCTATGGATCAGTGTGAAAGTAGCCTTACTGTGGTGGCTACAGAAGAATCTGCCAGGGCACTATTTAATGGGATGACTGCTTGTAGTCACAAGTGTTCAGGAAAGGGTGACAACACTGCAGCTGAACCAGGAAAGGGCTGTCACCCTAGGAAAAGAAAAACTTGTGGGTACACATGTTTTATGGCCCCTTCACACGTGTCTGCTCTGCTGCATTGCTTTCGCATACACCAGGCATGTCCAAAGTCCGGCCCACGGGTGAATTGCGGCCCATGTTCCGGTTTAATACGGCCCCACAGGTAATTTGGCAATATCTAAAAAGGAGAAAAGCGCCTCTAAATGCAATATGTGGTACATTTATTGAGGAACATAATTGGAAACACATGATGAAAGAAAACAAAAGGCTTATGCAGGCCATAGATGGGGAGAAAACCGGGCGAATTTTCTTTAAAAAAACGAACAATCGGTCGTTCAATCGGCCGACATTACCAGGAAAGGTAAAAAAAAATCGGCCGATTTTCATCCCGTCTACAGGCGGCAAAAAGTGTCCCTGCAGAGAGCTCTGACAGTTTTTTCTTTGACAGTTCTTTGACATTTATAGCGGCTGCAACAATGTATCTATTTGTATCCATTTCGGATACAGATGTTTTTATTCGGAAACAGATACAATGTTGCAGCCGCTATAAATGTCAAAGAACTTGCAAAGAAATAGCAGAGCTCTCTGCAGGGACACTTTTTGCCGGACTGGAATTCTTCTTCCTCTTCATCCTCTTCTTCTCCATCCTCTTCTTCTTCATCCTCTTTTTCTTCATCCTCTTCTTCTTCTTTCTTTTTTTTGTCTTCCTCTTGCAGGTCACTGCTCATGCGCAGATTTTTTATTGGTAAAAAGATCGGCCGATTTGCCCATAATTGCCGCGAAAATCGGCCGATCTTTTTCCAACTTTACCGATAAAAAAAATCTGCCAAAATACTGAAAAACGGCCGAACTATTAACCCACTAACGATCCGAAAATCGGCCGATTTTATTTTCGGCCGAAAAATCGGCCGATTTTCGACCCTTCTATGGCCTGCATTAGGCATATGTGGTGAAAGCGAAGGACATGATGACATCCTTGATGTATACGCTGTAGTAAGCACTGGAGGAGACTTAGGATGCTCACAGGGAGCCGGCCGGCATGTGTGAGATCCAAAGATGGCATCCGAAATCCACCCTGGAGCGCAACATCAACGTCAGCGTGGTGACGTAGGGATGTCCAGCATGCAATGAGATGCATTTCGGAGCATGCGCAAGGCCGATGAAATGCAAAGGTGCGCTCCCTTCTCAAGCATTGAAGGAGATCAGTGAGAGTAATTTTGCTTTTTTTTTTTATTTAGGGGGAGAAACAAGTACAGATTTCAAATATGCCATGACCAGTATCAGGCGCTCTGTCATGTACCTGATGGGAGACTGAAATGACGAGGTCAGCCTCACTTGTGTCACTAGCCCTGACCCCACTGGAGTTGGAACAGAGGGAGTCAAAGGACCAGGGGTACAAGAGCGCCAGTAGTTGTTGTTTTCAGCTCTTGCAGATGATGACCTTGACTGATGATCTTCTGATTCAGGCACAGTAGTAGCAAGCAGAGCAGGTCTTGTAGATTGCCAGGCGTGCACCAGAACAAGGCAGGTAGTGAGGGTAAGAGACAGGAGCAGTGTCATAGAAATAGCCAGGGTCATCAACAGTCAGGCAGCACGGTACAGAATCTGAAGGAAAGCCGAAGTCAGGAACCGGTGTCAATCAGGAGAGCAATCAGAGTCAGGTCAGGAACAAGTCGGGTCAGCAACAAAGGGATCACACAGGACCAAGCAGGACACGGGGGAGCTGAAGACCAGTCAGCAACTAACATGGGCAGAGACACTCTTTAAATAGCCCCTCTGGCGCCAATCTTTGCAGTGCGTGTGCACGTGTGCATGCGCGCATGCGCACAACTGACCACTCTTCTCCGGACATTCCTATGCGCATGCGCACTTCTATTCGCAATTTGTCTTGCCGGAAATACCTTACACGCTCCTTTATCCATTAATTTTTTTTTTACACAAAATAGTCGGCCCTCACGCATGTTCACTTTATCAAATCTGGTCCTCTTTGAAAAAAGTTTGGACACCCCTGACATACACTATGTCAAACGTGTCAATTTGAATGAGCTTCCCTTTTCTGTCGTAGTGCACCATAATGCACAGGAATTGGGTTACGATGACATTAAGACCACGTTCATGTTAATGCACTGCGGGACACCGCATGTCATTTGCATGGGAATTGCACAGCATTCCTGTGCAAATTACGCAATGATGTCTGTGTGACGCAGTTTGAGCTATACAATTTGTACGGCTCAAATTGCTTCGCATCTGCACCAAAAAGGTGTAGGACCCTTTTTTTTTTTACCCGCACCTGAATCACAGCACATGGGTGTTCTCACCCATGTGATGTGATTTCTGGCAGTCACACTGCATTTTGCAATCTGTTTTGGGGTGTCAATAATTTAACATTGACACCCACACAAGATTGCACGAACGCCATGCAATTGCAGAGGATTCCTGCACCACATCAGCGTGTACCCGCTCTAAAAGAGATATATGGTCAAAACCTTTTTAGTTCCACTTCTCTTGTAGGTCACAGGAGTGCACTTACTGTAGCTCTCCTGTGACACCCTAAGTCATCTGACAGCGGGCTATAGCCGCTGGACATTATCACAGCTGATCATGTGGTAAAAGGCCGCTGTGATTGGCCTTTTACCTAGTCATGTGATCAGCTGTGTCCGTAGGGGCGCACAGGTGGCGTGTCCTTGGAGAACGTCTATGGAGGCTCTTCCAGAGCTGGACAACCGTGCTTTAGCCGTCTTTCATCTATAGCGCAGCTGGCAAGCTGTTAAATAAACATTGCCCTGACCCAAGATGGCCACAGGGACAGTCAGGGCACCAGCGTCCAATCAGACGCCTGCTCCCTTGATGACAGCAGAAAGTCATAGTGGAAGTAAGTTCCACACTCCTTTCTTCCCCTTCTGCATCCCTGCTGAAACCTAGCGCCACCTACAGAAGTGAGTAGAGACTGCACCTGCCTACACACTACACGAGTACAGCTGCAAGCAGCCAATCATATTAGTGACAGGCTGTATGCTGCACCTGGGAGGAGGAAATACCCCAGGCATTACACTGAACAGGTACAAGAGCCCTAATTGAAATCAAGACATTGAGGAACATGTACAACAACATATTTTGTTCAAGTGTTTACATTAGTTGAACTAGATGGTGTCTTTTTTCAACCACACTAAGGCTGGCCATACATGGGTCGAAATTCGACCAATTTTTTGTCTGAAACCTAAGAATAATTGGCCGATTTTCGCTCTGTTAGTGGGTCAATGGCACCTGCTGATTTTTGTGGTTCCTCCCCTTTTTGGTGATCGGGCATGTTGGAAAATTTGTGAAAAACTACCAATTTGTGACTCAATGATGGTCAAGTCGTACGATCATTTTTCCTAAAAGCATATGCGCATGAGCAGTGACCTGGAAGGAACAGAAGTTTTGCCTGTTATATGGGGTGAACTTTATGGCTTGGTCGGCTAATTTTTGAAATCATTGATGGCACCATTGGATTACTGAGCGAACAACGTTTTTGATTTTCGGAGGAATAATCGTTTGGAATTCAAACTATGTATGGCCTGCATAACTATGTAACTACATTCAGCCTGGGTTGTAACTGATGAGGGGTGGAATTCACAGCATTTTCTGTGCGAATCCTGCACCGCATCAGAATCACACCCCATTCATGCGAACCACTTCGGGTGTGTATGTTAAGTTAACAATGCCCCGAAATTGGTCAGCAAAACGCTGTGCGCTGTGCAGAATCGGATTGCATAGGTGTGAATACCCATACGATCCGATTCTAGTGCGGACCCAAAAAAGGGTCCTGCACCTTTTTGGTGCGGATGCGGTGTGATTTGAGCCATACAGAAATTTCATGTAATTTGCACAGGAATGTGGTGCAGTTCCTGTGCGAATCACATGCAATGTACTGCACCGCGTTAGTGTGAACCCAGCCTAAGACACATCGGTGGGGTGGATTTACTAAAACCGGGGCACACAGGATCTGGTGCAGCTGTGCATGGTAGCCAATCAGCTTCTAACGTCAGTGTGTTCAATTAAGCTTTGACAACAAAACCTGGAAGCTGATCGGTTCCTATGCAGAGCTGCACCAGTTTTAGTAAGGCTACTTTTATCCTTTTTTTTTGCTCCAGGCCTACCTGTATCTGTGAAATCACACGGGGAATGGCTCTTGGTGTTTGGATTTTGGTCGGTACTTGTCCTTTAACTCCTGTTGATGTTTTTCTGCCCAGCAGTTATTGCAACACCACTGGAGCTGTTGGCTGCGGTTTGGTTCAAGTTCTGCAGATATTCCAGGAAAATGCTGGCCATTTTTTAAAAACTTCCCGATGTTTACATCAGGAATTAACCCTGTATACACTTCTACTTTTATTATTATGGGGGAACTGCTATTCTGGGCACAAGGGGCTGTTTGGCATGGACATATGGAGTATAGGCTGGTATGGATGTTTATGGCTCTCATTTACTGTGTAGGGAAACTTAACCACTAGCCTACAGGGCACTTATACCCCCTTCCTGCCCAGGCCAATTTCCAGCTTTCAGCGCTGTCACACTTTCAATGACAATTGCGCGGCCATGCAACACTGTACCCATATGAATTTTTTATCATTTTTTTGAGACAGAGCTTTCTTTTGGTGGTATTTAATCACCTCTTGGATTTTTATTTTTTCTTAAACAAACCAAAAACCACTGAAAAATTTTGAAAAAAAAAAGTTTTTTCTTAGTTTTTGTTATATAATTTTGTAAATAAGTGATTTTTCTCCTTCACTGATGTGCAATAATGAGGCTGCAGTGATGGGTACTGATAGGCTGCACTGATGGACACTGATAGGTGGCACTGATGAGGAGGCACTGGTAGGTTGCACTGATGGGCATTGACAGGCATCACTGATGGGCACTGAAACGCAGCACTGATACATGACACTGATACATGACACTGATAGGCGGCACTGACTGGCACTGATAGGAGGTACTGACTGGCACTGATAGGTGGCACTGATTGGCAGCACTGATAGGTGGCACTGATTGGCACTGATGGGTGACATTGAAAGGCAGCTCAGATGGGCACTGATATGTGGCATTGATGTGCACTGGTATGCACTGATATGTGGCATTGATGTGGCACTGATGGGCACTGGCACATGGCACTGATGGGCACTGGCACGTGGCACTTCTGGGGCCACACTGATCATCAGGGCACACTGATCATCAGTGCTCTGATGATCAGTGTACATCTCCCCTCCGTGGAAAGCTGATTACCTGCTCTCCTCTCGAGCTGTCAGCGTAGAGCTCGAGAGAAGAGAAATGCCGATAACCGGCATTTCCATGTTTACATGTGATCAGCTGTGATTGGACACAGCTGGTCACATGACCGAGCGGACATCTTCGGCTCTTTCCATGATCCGCTGTGGCCCAGGGACACAGCGCACCGGTGATCGCCACACTGCGCACTCCCTGAGCTGCGCATGCGCAGTGAAAATGGTAGGACGTCATATGACGTCCTATCAGAACGAGAGAACCACCTTGCGCTCGTCATTGTACTATAGGGCAGGTGGAAGGTGGTTAAACAGGGTGCTATAGCACTTAAGTGGGACCAAAACGTCTGAGTAAACAGGGAAGAGAGAATTGGTTTAGTTTATGATGGAATGGTCACAGGTGAGTACGTCTTATTATTCAGTGTTTTCTCCACTGGGGAGATTTGCCTTCACTTCCAGATGAAAATCTGGTACGACACAACCTTAACCCATTAACGCCTACACACCTTCTCCCATAAATAAGCTCACTGATGTATGTATAATATCTGAATAAACAAGTAGTTTAAAGTAGTGAATCAATACCAAAGAAAATACTGTACCTGAGAAGTGTGCATAAAAATGGCATCTAGGAGTAAAAAGTAGTCATACTCTCAGCATCCTGCTTCCTCTCCATGAGTACCTGCTGTGCATTTACGAGGGGTATTCAAGTCAAACTGGCACTTCTGATTTTACAGGTATAAAAAGGGATGCTAGCATGGTGGTACTACATGCAGTAGTAAGTGGCAAGTGTGTCTTATTACTGGTAGGCATCGCACATGTTGCAGACCAGTCCAGAGACCATATATCAAGATGCATGCATGGAACAGGGTGTGGTGATGAAGTGTCTTGTGAACAAAGGCATAAACCCTGCAGATATCTACAGAAGACTTCAAGCACAGTATGGTGATGAGACACTCAGCCGCAATAAGACATCTGAATGGTGTAAACATTTCGAAGATGGCCATGCGGCCATGCATCCATCAGTGACGATCCCGGCCATGGTGATTCCCATCAGCAGTCATTCCTGTGAACATTCAGCACATGGAACACCCGATCCTGGATAATTGACACATAAGCTGTCATGAAATTGCACAGGAGAGAAAGAGTTCCTTGAAGGTCAGCATTTCAGCACTGATGACGAAGTGAAGCAAACTGTCCTAGGATGGTTGGGCATACTGATAAATCTTTCTATGCTTTCTAAGCTTTCCAGGCATTAGTTAACCTCCCTGGCGGTATTCCCGAGTGTAGCTCGGGGTAAAGTTTCAGCACCACAAGCGGTAACCCCAAGCTACACTCGGAAATACCCTGCAGCGTTGCTCCGGGATCCCTCGATCACTTACCTTGTCCTGCGCTCCCACGATGTCCTCCCTGCAGTGTCCACGGCAATGTAATCCAGCGGATGCCGGCATTTGTCTTCCTGCGATGTCGGGACATACGGGGACGCAACTGGTGGGAAATTTAAAAATGTCAAAAAGGGACATTCACTAAATACACTAAAATCACATAGTAAAACATTACTGTTCAAACCATTTCACATACATTTTGTCCCTAGTGCTTTGTCCTGGGCCCTGCCAGCATTTTTACTGTTCTTTCTGCCTGGAAACTGAGAAATGTCCATGGCGTTCAAAAAGCGTCCCTTTAGGTCAAAAGCGGTTTTAGACCAGCTGGAGAACAGCGATAGTAAATTAGAAGTACTTGCAGAATTGAGAGATAATGATTTGTGGAGAAATTCGTCATCAGACACTGAAAACGATTTGCGACTTTGCTCAGTGATGTGCAAACTTGGCGCTATATTTCAAATTTCAATGTTTTGGTTTGATTATATTAGTGAATTAAATTTATTATTATATTATTATTTTTTTATGATTATTTATTAAATTAGATTTATGATTTTGTGTTTCAAATTTTAACATACCCGGGATGTTTACTAGACTCTTGTTCGGACAGATTTCAGTGAGTTATTCCTAAAAATTACAGGCCTACAATAAAAAAACTACATATTTCCATGCAAAAAAATGTACCGCTTTGAGCACAGAAATACTAACATAATCAGACCGCTAGGGAGGCTACACACTGGGATAAGTGTACAAAGGTAGCAGGGAAGTATATTGAAAAATAAATGCAGTTTTCACTCTTTGAAATGTGTTTTTTTAATAAATAAACTCAAAAGTCCCCGTTTGACTTGAATGCCCCTTGTACATTGGAGATTCGGAAGGCTGGAAGGCTGCCAAGTCACTACTGGCCATGCATTATACAATCACTTTGTACAATTTCTGTACAATCTCCTTTAGCTTTACCAAAACTATACAATATAGGGACAAACCTAAACAAACCCTTGTAAATTTGTATCTATTCAGGCAGGGTCTAATACTATATATTTGATGGTAGTTATAAAGAAGATTGTACAATTAGATTGCACTGGATGTGGTCATAGACCATGGAGACAGACTGCAGTGATTCTGCTGTAAACTGTAAGGATGAATTGCAGGAAGAACTTGTTTAAGGCTTATTTAGGGCCCAATTTACACTTGTGGTTGGAGGCAATAAAAAAAAGTGACTAACCTGTGTTTTTAACCAACCCCAAGCTTGGAAAGGCCGTTGTATGGGAAAATACACATGCCCAAAAGTTACCTCCCTTTCACATTTGGTGGGCAGTACTGACCACCGAAGGGGACCCATTCAAGTGAATGTGGCTGCACTGCAACTGCCCTGCTACAGTGTGCAATACACATACAGTAAATGTGGCATGTTGATGTGAGTTGTGAAGGCTTGAAACAAGCAGTGAGGAGGTGACATTTGTGTCAGGGGGCAAAATGATAACCCCCCAGCATTGTCAGTGAGTGCAATATTAACCCTCAACATTGGTGTCAGTGGATGTAGAAATAACCCCCAACATTGGCATCAATAAATGCAATAATAACTACCAACAATGTTGTCAGTGGATACAAAAAGCCCTTACCTCTGGTGTCAGTACTATTAACATTCCCCCCCCCACATTGATGGTCACTGACAATAAAATGTAATCCTTCCACTCCCCTGCATTTGTGGGCAATGGCAGTGGAAATTTAACTCCCCCCCACATTGGTAATTGGTGGCAGTGAAATAAATTGAAAAACTCCAGCTCTAACTATGGTGAAATGAAAACAAAAAATGAAATACTATAGCCTCTAGTGCACACAACCCATGTCTCAGTGGGCAAATTACACAATCATAATATGAAGTGGAAAAAAATGCTGCGCTGCATGAAACAATGGCACAATCCATTATATAACCAAAAAACAAAGTGAAAAAAAAAAATATATATATTAGAAGAAAAAAATAGTAGAAAAATATTAATATTGAAATAAAAACATAAAATATATATATATAAATATATAAAACAAAAACCACACAAAAAATAAAAATAAAGAATATTTTTAAGTATGAATCAAACAAAAGGCATTCAAAAAGTCAAGTTCAATCAATAAAGTGTTCATTCAGTGAACTCCCCTTTGGATAACAAACAATATGTGCATCTGTCACCAATTCCCATGCAAAGACATCCTCCATCATATATCTGCTCACCTCACGCAGTGTGATCTCACATTATACAATGTTACAGTCTAACTGCACTTTGGGTCCCATATGGACTCAGAAGATCAGCTTGCTGAATGAAGACTCCAAAGTAAGCTCCCTCCTGATAAGCGTCTTTGTATCAGCCGTATTCCTCATTAAAAAGAACTCAACATAGTGCTTTATCCTTTTAAACGTTTATTCATCAATTAAAACATATGAAATACACTCAAGTTCCGGAGGTGTATTTTGCACCAGGTATGATGAACATTCAGTGATGTACTGATTAAACACAAGATGGCAGTATCATCTCAGCAGCAGAATCCTGTACATGCTCAAAACAGACACCATCTGTAATGTAAGGCAAGGCAAAGCACAGGCCCACTAAATGAATGCTATTGCCTGCTGTAATGTCGTTCCAAGAGCCGTTTGTAGAGTACTACAAGCCGCTATCCTGATGAATGGCAATGTCGTGACATCATTGGCACACTCCTCACCGACGCGTTTCATCACTAGTCACTTATCAAGGGGATATGACTGGACCGTCAAAAAAACAATCAATTTATATAGTAAACCGGTGCCATTTTGTTGTGGACCGGCCTAGCACATGGTGGAAAAGCCAATCAGCGCCATTTTAATGAAGACCAAACAAGGAAAAAAGAAGTAGTACTCTACAAACGGCTCTTGGAACGACAAACATTTGGTTTTATATATACAGTCATGGCCGAAATTGTTGGCACCCTTGATATTTCTCCAGGAAAATCATGTATTTCTCACGAAACGTATTGCATTAACACATGTTTTGCTATACACATGTTTATTCCCTTTGTGTGTATTGGGACAAAACAAAAAAAGGGAGGAAAGAAAGCAAATTCGACATAATGTCACACAAACCTCCAAAAATGGGCTGGACAAAAGTATTGGCACCCTTTCACAACTGCGGATAAATAAGAATGTTACAAGCATGTGATGCTCCTGTAAACTCACCTGGGGCAAGTAACAGGTGTGGGCAATATAGAAATCACACCTGAAAGCAGATAAAAAGGAGAGACGTTCACTTAACCTTTGCATTGTGTGTCTGTCTGTGCCACACTAAGCATGGACAACAGAAAGAGGAGACGAGAACTGTCTGAGGACCTGAGAACCAAAATTGTGGCAAAATATCAACAATCTCAAGGTTACAAGTCCATCTCCAGAGAACTAGATTTGCCTTTGTCCACAGTGCGCAACATTATCAAGAAGTTTGCAACCCATGGCACTGTAGCTAATCTCCCTGGTCGTGGACGGATGAGGAAAATTGATGAAAGATTGCAACGCAGAATAGTCCGGATGGTGGATAAGCAGCCCCAAACATGTTCCAAAGACATTCAAGCTGTCCTGCAGGCTCAGGGAGCATCAGTGTCAGCGCGAACTATCCGTCGACATTTAAATGAAATGAAACGCTATGGCAGGAGACCCAGGAGGACCCCACTGCTGACACAGAGACATAAAAAAGCAAGACTACAGTTTGCCAAAATGTACTTGAGTAAGCCAAAAGGCCTTCTGGGAAAACGTCTTGTGGACAGATGAGACCAAGATAGAGCTTTTCGGTAAAGCACATCATTCTACTGTTTACCGAAAACGGAATGAGGCCTACAAAGAACAAAACACAGTACCTACGGTAAAATATGGTGGAGGTTCAATGATGTTTTGGGGTTGTTTTGCTGCCTCTGGCACTGGGTGCCTTGACTGTGTGCAAGGCATCATGAAATCTGAGGATTACCAAAGGATTTTGGGTCGCACTGTAGGGCCCAGTGTCAGAAAGCTGGGTTTGCGTCCAAGATCCTGGGTCTTCCAGCAGGACAATGACCCCAAACATACGTCAAAAAGCACTCAGAAATGGATGGCAAAGAAGCGCTGGAGAGTTCTGAAGTGGCCAGCAATGAGCCCAGATCTAAATCCCATTGAACACCTGTGGAGAGATCTTAAAATTGCTGTTGGGAAAAGGTGTCCTTCCAATAAGAGAGACCTGGAGCTGTTTGCAAAGGAAGAGTGGTCCAAAATTCCGGGTGAGAGGTGTCAGAAGCTTATTGATGGTTATAGGAAGCGACTGATTTCAGTTATGTTTTCCAAAGGGGGTGTGCAACCAAATATTAAGTTAAGGGTGCCAATACTTTTGTCCAGCCCATTTTTGGGGTTTTGTGTGACATTATGTCATATTTGCTTTTCTGCCTCTGTTTTATATTTGTTCCAATACATACAAAGGAATAAACATGTGTATAGCAAAACATGTGTTAATGCAATACCTTTTTTGTGTGAAATACTTGATTTTCAGGAAAAATATCAAGGGTGCCAACAATTTCGGCCATGACTGTATATATTTCAATATAAATATTTTTTCTACTAAGATTCCTATCCATCTGGGAGTTCTGGGCGTTTGTGCACATCTTTGCATGTTCCAGCTCCTCCTGTTATATCCTCCATTCTAAAAAAATAATCTAGCAGGAATGGTGGGATCCACTCATAATGGGTAAAGCATGTCTCACCTCACAGAGACTTCACCCATAGAGCCTACTAGTAATAGAAGAAATTGTCAGGTGATTTAAAGCCCAGATCCAGGGAGAGTAAAAATCCTTCCATGAATTGGGGTTACACTCACATTGCAAAGGTTAAATGGTTGTTTATGTCTAGAGAATAGAGTTGAGCCAAGGCTTGTTAAGATCCTAGTCCGAGCCCACCTGTGTGAGCTCGCCAGGAATCTGTCAAAATGCTGATCCAATCATAGAGCTAAGGTATTCCCCACCCCGCAGCCACACGTATACACACACCCACTGTATACATGGAGCTGGGGGTGGGCAATGCTCCTGTGACAACTGATTGACCCAGTACAGATGACCGCTTCCTGGGAGGTTTACTCAGGTGGATTCAGATTAGAATCGCAACATGCTCGGGAACATAAAAAGTAGTTTTACTTACCAGCTCCTCCATGCTCCAGGAGTGGACTGTTCCTTAGCGTCCAATGCAGGGCTATGGGCCCTGCTTCAGTCTTGATGTCAGAAAGTATCCAACGGTCAAAGCGTTGTGATCTTTTAAAGACAAGAAATCACTTAGAAAAATAAAACAATGTTATTCATCCAAAAAAATGACTCATAATCAGCAGCCGACTTTCTTAGGAAAAACTGAAATCACTCCACTGAATAGAGATCTGTATGACTGTACCAACCAATACACAGTAAGCTGCTGCAAATAAAGGGTTCATAACTCCTCAGCACAGGTCCTGTATGATGTATGGATGATCTACAGTGACAGATGCATGGACCAGGACAAATGGCTACGAGGAGTTTTTTGAGAAATGTAGTATTATAATTCTCCTCTTTCCCATCCCAGTCAGGATTTTGTCAGATTTGGTCAATATCCTGTCTGCATGCAAGCGAGAATTTTTACTTCTCCCCCTGGAATTCAGCTTTAACTCCATAGCATCTACCATATCGCTTTTTGCATAGTGATCCTTTAAAGAAAAACAATCTCTTACAAAAATAAAACAATGTTAAAGTAGTATTAAACCATCTGCATTTGATTAGCTTAACCATACCAAGCACAATAAAATAAATATTTCATAGTAAACTATTTGTTAAAAATCCTACTCCAGCAGTTGCAGTTTCTAACTTGCAATGCTGCTGGCTACTGCTCTCTCAGAGCTGCTTCCCTGAACTTCTGGTCTTCACAGGAAACAGTTAACAGTGGACAGTGCAGTCTTAAGCCAGTCTGTTCCTTGGGAGAGGGAAGAGGGAATCAGGAGAAAAGATGGAGGAGCATGGGAGTGCCTTGCTATTCTAAGCTATAGAACTCTGTGTTCCTAACGATGCACACAGAGTAGGGAGACAAAATTCTAGTGTCTGCAGGCAAGGGTGGCTCCATAGGGTGCTGGTTAGATATTCTGTATATAGCCTTACGGAACAGACACTGCACAGTCCACATGTGTTTATCTGATGCTTTTCTGCAAACAGGAAACAGGAACTTTATTATAAAGAAAAGACATAGAGTTTTGCCATAGACGCAGCCACAAACTTATAAATACTGACATCTACTGGCTGAAGAACATATCTCTACTGAATACTTATACTGATGTAGTTGGTGTGCAAAAATACGTAAACATTGTATTCCAACAGCGATCATGGCATTAGTTTAAACTGGAACGTTGGCAAGGAATAAAGGATAAAGAAGCTGCCTACCAAGTGAGTGATTAAATTAGCTGCTGAGGGTTTAATGTTACTTTAAGTAGTCTAAAATGATTCATAATCTTATGAAAAACTGAAATCCAATCAATGAATAGAGATCCTTGTAATCGTACCAATCAATACACAGTAAGCTGCTGCAATTCAGGGGTCCATAACTCCTCCTGATGGTTGACAGAGATGGAAGCATGTCCCACGGCAGATGGCTATGTGGGAGTCTTTTGAGAAATGTGGCAATGTAGTTCTCCTCTTTCCGATGTCATAATATTGTCAGATTTGGCCCATATCCTGGCTGCATGATGGGAATTCTAGGTTAAACTGTTAGTGTTACGATTGTTTTGGCTCTTGCGGTCATCACTTCAGTGTTGATTGTGCCAAGGACTTGTGTCTTTTTCATCCTGACTTTGTTCCTATGGTAGATGTACCAAATACAAAGGACAGAGTAAACAAGAATGTACAAAACCAAACTCCTGGGACATTCCCAAAATGGTTATGTCAGATAGACGATGGCTGCCATCCAAAGTCCTTCTGTATAAATGTGAAGCTTTTCAGCTCTCTGCTCAGCGGTGTCTGGTTCTTTCTCCGACCTCTCACATCTACTGGTCCGGTCTATCATTTTCATTGGCCATGATTCTCCTGCGGTCTTCCGTTTTACTCCTATTTTGTGGAATCTTCTGCTGCCAAGAGTCTGTGTAAGTGACACTTTATAGCCAGTGTTTCAGTCTCAGATGAAGCAGAGATATTTGCAGTTCCAAGGGCAGGTGGCTCTGGTGCTGAGTATGACAGTGTAGAATAAAAGGCTATGATACCATTCCAATATTCTCTTTCATTGTAAACTTGAATTCTTGCATTTACAGGACCACTGCATCGCCCATTAACACAACACAACTCCACCCAACTGGCCAACAGCAAGAATCGCTCCTTCCGACGGTAACTATGCCTATGCTTGTAAATGTTTTTTTTTTAATAAATTCATTTTTTTTTGCAACCATGTACCTTTTATTCACACCATATTATGTAATGGTTAGGTAAAGTGTGCAGTTTCCAGCACCCAAAAATATCATGCGTTTTCCAATGTGTGGGGGTGCCTTTAGGAAATAATGGTACCCCCATGTGTTGGCTAAAGAGCAGCACAATTTGTCTGCAGCAGGGGCGGACTGACCATTCAAACACTCGGGCACTGCCCGAGGGCTCGGGGTCAGTAGGGGGCCCCATAAAATGCCCCTGGTACCTTTTTATAGGCTTTTTTGGGTGTGTTTTGAGTGTGGGCAAGGACACAGGGGCCCCCATGATCCCCAATTGCCCGGGGGCCCCATGAGTTGTCAGTCCACCCCTGGTCTGCAGGTTGCAAATCAGTGCAATTATGCACCAGTTCCCAACCTGCATGTGTGAACCTATCCTAAGAAGAAATCACTAGTAATAAACAGCATAGTACCGTCTAGTACAAACACAGATCCTTGTGGATCCCTGGGGGAAGGTAGTAACACATCTATACGCAAGAATGATGGTTTTAGCTGGTAATCCAGGTGGTTGACCACAGGGATCTCCCTACAGGTTCCACAGAGAGGAGGCAGGGGGAGTCTCTGGTTTGAATGTCTAGGTAGCAGTAGAAGACTCAGGGATGGGTGAACAAAAAGGTGGCTGAAGATACAGGGACACCCCACTGGAAAGGCGGTCTTTTAGAGTCAGCTAGCAAAGAACCCACCACAGTGACTGGGGCTTAAGCTGAAGCTGCATGAAGCTTACACCCTAATCTGGGGGCTCACTAGGGAACAATGAAGGAGGAACCCCAACTGGTGGAAGCTAACAACCCCAGTCACTGCTCTCCCATTTGACAAAATCTCCCCTGGGTGTGTCCAAGAGTTCTGAGGGCCCAGATGATGGTGGGAAAATAAATTAAAGAGGCCTGCACCCACTGCTGAACAAGGTTGGTAAGAGGAACTCCACTACATTGGTTTAAAGGATAGGCAATAGCATTAAATCGTTTTTTCTTTAAATATTTGCCTGGAATTCAGTTTTAATGTCTATTACAGATTACACCAGAAGATTCACCCAGGGAGAATGAAGCAGAAAAGTTGGCTCAGTCTGAGAATGAGACTGTGGTGGATGATCAAACTGAACCTAAAGCTACACCAGGTCATTTTCTAAACACATTGATTTGTTTGATAAAACTGAAAAGGGGAATTACACAATCTGAAACAGCTGTGCAAAGTAACCAATCAGCTTCTAGCTTCAGCGTGTTCAATTAGGCTTTGAAAATGAAAGCTAGAAGCTGATTGGTTACCATGTACATTGCTCCAGTCTTAGTAAATTCCCCTCAATGTTCCTCCTGTGTGATGATTTTTCTGAAGGTCCAACACAAAATCAGTTTATTGTCATCATAGAGTGCTCTGTCACATTGTGCGAGTTGTGTGTGGGGTATTAGGGAGGGTCACACATGTTATAATGATTGTACAATCTCTGTAGAATCACCATTATGGTGGCCATACACGCATTGATAAATGTTTGATTTATTTTTAAATCGATATCCACCAGAATAATTAGTCTATAGTTGACAATCTCTTTGTTTGATATGCAACACATGGGGTAGTGGATTTCATTTGATAGTTAAGCCCTTTGTGACCGCCCCAACACATATGTGCTGCAGCAAAAAGGTGGACTTTAACGCCCATGTGTTGGACATATGTGTTGCTGGGCAGCTGATGTTTATCTGGCGAGAGATTGCTCACTGCGCATTCCCAGCACAAAGACCGAGCTGTCAAAGACAGCTCTTGCTCCGGCCTAAGGATTAGGAGCCAACCCGACAGGCTTCCAATTATGTGACCACTGTGAGGTTGGTCACATGATCACCAATTCTTTCTACCCATCGGGCGTTCACAACTGTATAAAGGGACACCAGGGCAGGAGGAGAGGGGTTAAAATAAGATTGCTACTGAGGATTGTAATCTATCAGTCACACCTCTGTTTCCACCATGTGATATCATAATCTGATCAGTCAAAATACAATTATATCCATGAACAAAGTATCTCAGTGCTGACAATCAATGCCAAACAATCAATCATTTTCTGCCCTGGCTGATCAGCCCAGTTTGATCAAATACAGTCTAAATCAATTTGAAGGGAAGTTGTGGCTATTCGATTGTTTGCAGATTTGATTATCTTGATGGAATCACAGATCAATCAGATAATAAAATCAGAGAGTGTGTGCCCACCATTATGCTCACCATACATGTTACAGTCTGATTATACAACCTTCTTTAGGATTTCCAACAAGTATGTAGTGCAAGGGTCTGCCTGACTGGATACAAAATGATTGGGTATTTTAGGTAGGTTCTTATATTACATACTTCTGATAATTCTAAAGTTGATTGTACAAAGATTGTAATGTTTATGGCGAGCCTTAGATTTACCAACAATGATGTCATTGAGGACTTACAGGCAGACCCTTGTCACTGGTAAATCTAAAGGAGGTTGTACAGTCAGATTGTAATGTGTGTGCCACATAAACCAGCATTAATTCCATGGAAGCAAAGTAGAAAATGGTTCACATTTTTCTTTTTATAAATGATGTGACCTTTAACTTTACACTCCCACAGATGACCTGCAGTTTATAGCAAGGAGGAGGAAGTGTTGCGAAGATGGCCGCCAGCACTTTTACAAGAATGGAAATTGCGCCAACAGGTCGAGGGAAGAGAATGAAGCAGTGGGGCTGTGGTGTGATCAGAAATTCCTGGATTGCTGCGTCTTTATGGAAGCGTACTATATGGGGCCAGTGGATGGGTGCCGTGGCCGAAATAAGCTGTGTCGTTCTCAACTTCCCACTCCAGGGGTATGTAACAAGCATAAGACAAAGTGAAGGGATGCAAGCTGCTCAACCGACCCCAGGAGTCCAATGTTGAAGAATGGCCTCAGCTGCCACTCCGGCCACGCCCTCTGACTTGTTTCGCCCTGCCCACTGGGGCGCTTGGTCACAGACCATGTCCCAGTGGGCTTGCTGACCCACCATACCAGAGCTTCAGAGTGCAAAGAGCCAGCGCGCTGGCAGCGGAGGAAGCAGGCAGCCGTGGGGAGAGCAGGAGCCACCAAAGCCGATGCTTCCTCTGTAGCTCCAGCTCCTATCCCAGGCGGAGTGATACCTAGTGCACTTTGCCTGAGACCTTTCTAGCAGCCTGGAGATGGAGAGCGATGCCAGCAGAAGTTGGAAGAGGAAAAGAAGGTCAGTGTATTAAACAACATACACTGTGCTATTACAATGGGCATATTAGCACCTATAAAAGGATTAGCAACTGTTTGGCTGTTTTCACAATGATCTGCATGTGGAGCGCAGTGCACCTGCAACTTTCCTGTGGGTTAACTGCACTGAGCCATAGACTTCTATTATATCCTGTGGGTTTGGTGCTCCTGAATCCACCCACTGCTGAACAAGGTTGGAAAAGAGGAACTCCACTACATTAATGATATGAACAAATATTTCATTATGTTTAAAGGGATATAGAATTGTAATAATTAGTTTTTTCTAAATGTTTGCCTGGAACTTTACTGTTTATTACAGACTTTACCAGAAGGTTCACCCAGAGGGAATGAAGCAGAAAAGTCGGTTCAGCCTGAGAATGTGACAGTGGTGGACAGCCGTGAATCCCAAACCAAACCTAGCGCTACACCAGGTAATATTCCAAACACATTGATTTGTTCCCTTCATGGTAAAACTGAATGGGGGGAATTACTCAAACTGGAACAAACACAACCTGAAATAGCTGTGCAAAGTAACCAATCAGCTTCTAGCCTCAGCTTGTTCAATTAGCATTTGAAAATGAAAGCTAGAAACTGATTGGTTGCCATGTACAATTGCTCCAGTTTTAGTAAATTCCCCTCAATCTTCCTCTTGTGTAGTGACACCAAATCAGTTTGTCATCATAGAGTGCTCTGTCACATTGTGCGAGTTGTGTGTGGGGTATTAGGGAGGGTCACACATGTTATAATGATTGTACAATCTCTGTAGAATCACCATTATGGTGGCCATACATGCATTGATAAAATGTTTGATTTATTTTGAGATCGATCTCCACCAGATAATTAGTCTATAGTTGACAATCTCTTTGTTTGATATGCAACACATGGGGTAGTGGATTTCATTTGATAGTTAAGCCCTTTGTGACCGCCCCAACACATATGTGCTGCAGCAAAAAGGTGGACTTTCACGCCCATATGTTGGATATATGTGTTGCTGGGCAGCTTATGTTTATCTGGTGAGAGATTGCTCACTGCGCATTCCCAGCACAAAGACTGAGCTGTCAAAGACAGCTCTTGCTCCGGCCTAAAGATCAGGAGCCAACCCGACAGGCTTCCAATTATGTGACCACTGTGAGGTTGGTCACATGATCACCAATTCTTTCTACCCATCGGGCGTTCACAACTGTATAAAGGGACACCAGGGCAGGAGGAGAGGGGTTAAAATAAGATTGCTACTGAAGATTGTAATCTATCAGTCACACCTCTGTTTCCACCATGTGATATCATAATCTGATCAGTCAAAATACACAATTATATCCATGAACAAAGTATCTCAGTGCTGACAATCAATGCCAAATAATCAATCATTTTCTGCCCTGGCTGATCAGTTTGATCAAATACAATCTAAATCAATTTGAAGGGAAGTTGTGGCTATTCGATTGTTTGCAGATTTGATTATTTTGATGGAATCACAGATCAATCAGACAATAAAATCAGAGAGTTTGTGCCCACCATTAGGCTCACCATACATGTTACAGTCTGATTTATACAACCTTCTTTAGGATTTCCAACAAGTATGTAGTGCAAGGGTCTGCCTGACTGGATACAAAATGATTGGGTAGTTTAGGTAGGTTCTTATATTATATACAGTCAGGTCCATAAATATTGGGACATCGACACAATTCTAACATTTTTGGCTCTATACACCACCACAATGGATTTGAAATGAAACAAACTAGATGTGTTTAACTGCAGACTGTCAGCTTTAATTTGAGGGTATTTACATCCAAATCAGTTGAACGGTGTAGGAATTACAACAGTTTGCATATGTGCCTCCCACTTATTAAGGGACCAAAAGTATTGGGACAATTGGCTTCTCAGCTGTTCCATGGCCAGGTGTGTGTTATTCCCTCACTATCCCAATTACAATGAGCAGATAAAAGGTCCAGAGTTCATTTCAAGTGTGCTATTTGCATTTGGAATCTGTTGCTGTCAACTCTCAAGATGAGATCCAAAGAGCTGTCACTATCAGTGAAGCAAGCCATCATTAGGCTGAAAAAACAAAACAAACCCATCAGAGAGATAGCAAAAACATTAGACGTCGCCGAACAACTCTTTGGCACATTCTTAAAAAGAAGGAACGCACCGGTGAGCTCAGCAACACCAAAAGACCTGGAAGACCACGGAAAACAACTGTGGTGGATGACCAAATAATTCTTTCCCTGGTGAAGAAAAACACCCTTCACAACAGCTGGCCAGATCAAGAACACTCTCCAGGAGGTAGGTGTATGTGTGTCAAAGTCAACAATCAAGAGAAGACTTCACCAGAGTGAATACAGAGGGTTCACCACAAGATGTAAACCATTGGTGAGCCTCAAAAACAGGAAGGCCAGATTAGAGTTTGCCAAACGACATCTAAAAAAGCCTTCACGGTTCTGGAACAACATCCTATGGACAGATGAGACCAAGATCAACTTGTACCAGAGTGATGGGAAGAGAAGAGTATGGAGAAGGAAAGGAACTGCTCATGATCCTAAGCATACCACCTCATCAGTGAAGCATGGTGGTGGTAGTGTCATGGCGTGGGCATGTATGGCTGCCAATGGAACTGGTTCTCTTGTATTTATTGATGATGTGACTGCTGACAAAAGCAGCAGGATGAATTCTGAAGTGTTTCGGGCAATATTATCTGCTCATATTCAGCCAAATGCTTCAGAACTCATTGGACGCCGCTTCACAGTGCAGATGGAAAATGACCCAAAGCATACTGCAAAGGCAACCAAAGAGTTTTTTAAGGGAAAGAAGTGGAATGTTATATGCAATGGCCAAGTCAATCACCTGACCTGAATCTGATTGAGCATGCATTTCACTTGCTGAAGACAAAACTGAAGGGAAAATGCCCCAAGAACAAGCAGGAACTGAAGACAGTTGCAGTAGAGGCCTGGCAGAGCATCACCGGGGATGAAACCCAGCGTCTGGTGATGTCTATGCGTTCCAGACTTCAGGCAGTAATTGACTGAAAAGGATTTGCAACCAAGTATTAAAAAGTGAAAGTTTGATTTATGATTATTATTCTGTCCTATTACTTTTGGTCCCTTAATAAGTGGGAGGCACATATGCAAACTGTTGTAATTCCTACACCGTTCACCTGATTTGGATGTAAATACCCTCAAATTAAAGCTGACAGTCTGCAGTTAAAGTACATCTTGTTTGTTTCATTTCAAATCCATTGTGGTGGTGTATAGAGCCAAAAATGTTAGAATTGTGTCGATGTCCCAATATTTATGGATCTGACTGTACTTCTGATAATTCTAAAGTTGATTGTACAAAGATTGTAATGTTTATGGCGAGCCTTAGATTTACCAACAATGATGTCATTGAGGACTTACAGGCAGACCCTTGTCACTGGTAAATCTAAAGGAGGTTGTACAGTCAGATTGTATTGTGTGTGCCACATAAACCAGCATTAATTCCATGGAAGCAAGGCAGAAAATGGTTCACGTTTTTCTTTTTATAAATGATGTGATCTTAAACTTTACACTCCCACAGATGACCTGCAGTTTATAGCAAGGAGGAGGAAGTGTTGCGAAGATGGCCGCCAGCACTTTTACAAGAATGGGAATTGCGCCAACAGGTCGAGGGAAGAGAATGAAGCAGTGGGGCTGTGGTGTGATCAGAAATTCCTGGATTGCTGCGTCTTTATGGAAGCGTACTATATGGGGCCAGTGGATGGGTGCCGCGGCCGAAATAAGCCGTGTCGTTCTCAACTTCCCACTCCAGGGGTATGTAACAAGCATAAGGCAAAGTATAACAGGCAGTGAAAGCGAATGCCCGGGGTTGGCAACCCATTGATCACGATCTGGGTTTGCTGACCCGCCATGCCAGAGCATCAGAGTGCAAAGAGCCAGCGCTGGCAGTGGAGGAAGCAGGCAGCCATGGAGAGAGGAGGAGCCACATAATCCTCATCTGTAGCGCCAGCTCCTGTCCCAGGTGGAGTGATACCTAGTGCACTTTGCCTGGGATCTTTCTAGCAGCCTGGAGATGGAGAGCGATGCCAGCAGAAGCTGGAAGATTAAAAGAATATCAGTGTATTGAACAACACATACACTGTGCTATTACAATGGGCATATTAGCACCTATAAAAGGGTTAACAACTATTTGGCTGCTTTCACACTGATCCGCATGTCCAGCACAGTGCACCTGCGGCTTTCCTGCGGGTTGACTGCACTCAGCCATAGACCTCTATTATATCCTGTGGGTTTGGTGGTCCTGAATACAGAAGTTTTGGTGTGCTTTCAAAAAGTGCACCACACACTAAAAATGTAATAGAAGTTTATGGCGAAGCACAGCTATCCCTCAGGAAAGTCACAGATGCACCACGCTGCACCAGTGGTGCTGGTAAACCTCAGCGCATCAGTGTGAAAGCAACCTTCTAGGGGGCTCAGGCTCAGGACAGTAAGGGCTCATTTACAATTGCAGTGGGGGGGGGGGGGTAAAAGACACATAGTTGAGACATGTTTTTACCACACACCCCCAACCACTGGTGTAGCATAATGGGTCGCAATGGAGACCCCGCCTCATGCTCTAGGGGCCCTGTGCAACCTCCCTGTCACACTTCTACACTTGGACAGGAAGGGGGGGGGAGCATATATAGGACCCGATCCTCTCCATTATCCTTCTGCAACCACTGTGTTCTGCACACTAGTACTGAAAATGTTATAGATAGGCAATTCCTATCCTCATATTGATTAGTGGTTTCAAATAAATAATAACTACTGCAGTAGGGAACAGACACAAAAAGATACACTCAGCATCTTTCCAAATTACTGTTCTGTTTATTTGGCAGGTTTTGTGTTTTTTTTATACACATGATTATGTAGGTGTCACATTAATATTACAGTTGTATTTTATGGTAACAAGGGGCTTTACATAGGCAGGCTAATTCTTAATCAGGAGTTGAAGGAATGCAAATGTAATGAAAACATTATTGGTGCTGTGTGCACAATGAGTGTAGTGTACAATACATAGGCAAAGCATACAAAAGAGAATACAATTTTATACAGAATTTACAAATTTAATTTACAACTGAAAGTCGGCTTCTCCCCTTCTCTATCCCGCCGGTATTCAGCAACTGCAGGAGGTAAATATTCATTATGCTATTCAAAATAAAAAAATTTAATTATGAACCATTTCATTTAATTGTGGCCCGTGACCAGTTACCAAATCACTTAAGTGGCCCCTGCTCTTCAGAAGGTTGAGCACCTTTGATCTAAGAGAATAGAGTATAAGAAGAGATCACAGTTAAAATGATTGTAAAGCTTTGAAATGTTTTGTTATTTAAAATACCAAACATGTCATACTTACCTGCTCTGTGCAGTGGTTTTGCACAGAGCATCCCTGATCCTACCCTTCTTGGGTCCCCCACCAGTGCTCCCGGCTTCTGCCCCCCACCAAATGCCCCCATAGAAATTTGTTTTCTATGGGGGCACTTGTGCGGACTTGCTGCCAAGCCACCCTGTCTGCATCTATTGACACAGACAGGGTGGCTCAACCCCCCCCTGCTCCCTGATCACAGATTTTATTTGACAGCAGCGGGAGCCAATGGCTGTCACTGCTATCAATTTTCCCTGTGAAAAGGGAGAGAGCTAGAAGAGTTACTGCTCTCATGCACAGCGCTGGATCAAAATCGGCCTCAGGTAAGTACAAGCAGGGGCTGGGGGGATCCTCGATCACAGAAGGTGTTTTCCCTTAATGCATAGAATGCATTAAGGTAAAACACACTTAGGCTTTAGAACCACTTTAATAGTAGATCAGTTCAGTCTAGTGAAAACAATGATACTTGTAGTTCCCTGGGGGAAGCTAATAACATATCTACCACAAGGAGGCTGGCTGTAGCTAGTAGTCCAAGTGGACAACCACAGGGATCTCCCTACAGGCTCCACAGAGGAGAAGCAGGAGTTGTTTCTGGTCTGGATGTCCAGGTAGCAGCAGAAGACCCAGGGATGGGGGAACAGCTGAAGACACAGGGCCAGCCCACTGGAAAGGCAGTATTCTAGAGTCATCTAGCACAGAGCCCACCACAATGACTGGGGCTTAAAGTGATACTAAAGTCTTGTTTTTTTTTTAAAATAACAAACATGTTATACTTACCTGCTCTGTGCAGTGGTTTTGCACAGAGCAGCCCAGATCCTCCTCATATCGGCTCCCCCACTGGCACTCCTGGCCTCTCCCTCCTGTTGGGCACCCCCACAGCAAGCAGCTTGCTATGGGGGCCCCCGAGAAGTCGCCCTCCCTAGCCTCATCTTTGCGTGTCCATTTACACACACAGCTGTGGCTCAGCCCCACCCACTCCCTCTCCTGACTGGCTTGCTGGCTGTGATTGACAGCAGATGTCAGCAGCTGGCAGGCACATCGCTGGATTCAAGGTGAGTATAGTTCTGCTTCAAGATGAAGCTGTGTTCTCGGGCGACCCATATGCTGAAAATAACAAAGGAGGACCCCCCACCTGCTGCCAGTTAACAAGCCCAGTCACTGCTTTCCTATCTGGTACAACCTCTGAGCATCTAAGGATCAGCAACAGTGGAATTTATATTCTCTGGGTGTGTCCAGGAGTCCTGGGGGCTGTGGGAGCTCAGAGGGTTGTGGAAAAAGTAATTAAAGGGGCCTGCACCCACTGCTGAACAAGGTTGGTAAAGAGGAACTCCACTACATTAGTGATAGGAAAAAATATATTTCAGTATGTTTAAAGGTGAATATAATTGTATTATATGGATTTTTTTTGCCTGGAGTTCAGCTTTAATGTTTATTACAGAATTTACCAGAAGGTTCACCCACAGAGAATAAAGTAGAAAAGTCAGTTCAGCCTGAGAATGTGACAGTGGTGGACAGCCGTGAATCCCAAACCAAACCTAGCGCTACAGCAGGTAATATTCCAAACACATTGATGTGTTCCCTTCAAGATAAAACTGAATGGAGGGAATTAGTCAAACTGAAGCAGACATACTCTGGAGCAGCTGTACAAAATAACCAATCAGATTCTAGCCTTGGTTTGTTCAGTTATGCTTTGAATATGAAAGCTAGAAGCTGATTGGTTGCCATGTACATTGCTCCAGTCTTAGTAAATTCCACTCAATGTTTCTCCTGTATGGATTAGTTCCTCTTTAGACCACAGTGGTAAGCTGCAGCAATGAAGGAGCTCCTTGGCGAATGGGCAGTCTGTAATGGAAGCAATAATACAGTTTGACCTGCAGAGGGCAGATTTTGCAGAAGACTCTTGTGATTGGATATGCTGAAAGTATAATAACCAGTAGGCCGAACAACCTGGGCCTTAACACTGATAACTTCAGAAACAATGGCAGTCAAACTAAGCAGAAAGTAAATTAATTTAGTAATGTCATTTGCAACTTAGATGGCTTGAGTATTTTTATTATTATTATACAGTATTTATATAGCGCCAAAGGGTATGCTCAGCACTGTACAGTAGCAAGGGGGACATAACATGAGACAAGACAGTAACAATACAATACACGAGGGGCTCGAGGGCCCTGCTCTTTCGAGCTTACAATCTAGGAGGGAGGGGAAGGTGGTACAGGAGGAAATGACTGTGGGGGATGGAGTGGTGGGAAGAGTGGAGGAGGATAGTTGTTAGGTGAGGTCGGGTGTTAGGTGAGGTTGGGGTAGGCTTCCCTGAAGAGGAGGGTTTTCAGGGTGCGCCTGAAGGTGAGGAGGGTAGGTGACAGTCTGATGGATTGGGGTAGGGAGTTCCAGAGGATGGGGGAAGTCCTGGAGAAGTCCTGCAATCGGGCATGGGAGGAGGAGACCAGGGAGCTAGAGAGCAAGAGGTCCTGTGAGGAGCGGAGGGCACGGGTAGGGTAGTATCTGGGTATCAGGTCAGTTATGTAGTTCGGGGCGGCATTGTGAATGGCCTTGTAGGTCAGGGTTAGCAGCTTGAACTTGATGCGTTGGGCAATCGGGAGCCAATGAAGGGATTGGCAGAGGGGGGAGGCAGATGTGAAGCGCTTGGTGAGGTGGATGAGTCTGGCCGCTGAGTTTAGGATCGACTGGAGTGGGGAGAGCATTCGTTTGGGTAGGCCAGTGAGAAGGGAATTGCAATAGTTCAGGCATGAGATGATGAGGGAGTGTACGAGTTGTTTGGTGGTGTCTGGGGTGAGGAATGTGCGTATCTTGGAGATGTTGCGGAGGTGGAGCCTGCAAGATCTAGATAGCAGTTGGATGTGTGGTAGGAAGGAGAGGTGGGAGTCCAGGGTGACACCCAGGACTTTGGCGTGTGGGGTGGGAGAGATGGTGGCGTTGTTAGTAGTGATGGAGAGGATGGGGGGGGGGCATGGGGTGGGGGGAAGACCAGAAGCTCGGTTTTGGATAGGTTAAGTTTGAGGAAATGGAGCGACATCCAGTCTGATATGTCGTTTAGGAGGTGGGCGATGCGGGCAGAGAGTGAGGGGGTGAGGTGGGGGGTGGAGAGGTAAATTTGGGTGTCGTCGAGTATGGAATTCTTTCACCTGATCCATGGCCTCAGTCAGGTAGCGGATGGTTTCTTTGTGGACAGGGGCCCTCGTTTTTGTGGTTCCTCCTACAGAGATCACTCCGGACAACAACGCTCCAGTCCGCCTGCTCATAGGGCTGTCTGCCAGACTTGTCAGTGGTGTCAGCAGTCAGCAATTCCTCCTCTCTCCTCCACTCTGTGGCCTGGTCCAGCCGGGACCTCCGGCGTCCCGCAGTTTCTCTTTACACCTGCTCTCCAGCTCTCTCCGTCCACTTCCTATCCGTGGGTTCCTGGGCTTCTGTATTTATTTGCCCCCCCGCCTTTCCATCAGCTCCTCTGGCAAATGTAGTTTGTTAGCTCACTGTCAAACGGTGAAGTCCTGCAATCAGCCTACGGATCCCACAAAGCTTTCCAACAGAGTCTGTATAACTGGGCTGCAGGACACTATAATCTTGTGTCCATTTAACATCCTGCAACCAGTATTATGGCAGAGTGATACAATTATATCTGATTATCGTCTGGTCGTCATGTTTGTCAGCCTGATTATATACAATCTCCTTTAGGTCTACCAACAATTATATAGTGGAAGGGTCTGCCTGACTGGATACAAAATGATTGGATAGTTTAGGTAGGTCCTCAACTCTGATGTTGAATAAACAAAGGTTGTGTGATCAGATTGTAACATGTATAGTAAGCCTTATATTTACCAACCATGATGTGACTGAGGACTAAAGCTGGCCGTGGATGGGTAGAATTGTGAACAGAAATTCTTAGGAAAAGAATGTTCTAAGAAAATTTGATCATTTTTCTAATCACTATTGGGTTCAAACTGACGTTTATTTTTATGGAAAAAATTTCTAACAGTGTATGTGGTTTTCGTTCAGTAAAGTCCTTTAATTTCAAGGTCAGATGTTAAAAATAAACGAAATTCGAATGTTATGAGAATTTTCGTATGAATTTTACTAAGACTTTTCCTAAGACATTTAGTTCAAAATGTTATCCATCTATGGCCAGCTTTACTGGCAGACCCTTGCCACCATATGTGTGCCATATAAACCAGCATTAATTCCATGTAATGCCAGCCATACATGGATTGAAATTCAGCTGGTTCAGCAGGGACTAGATGAATTTCGATCCATGTGTGGGGATGGTGGTTGTACAGAAATCGATCTACTGATTAACTTCTGTACAACCAGCCTGTCAGATAAATGGCGTCCAATCCGTACCACCAGCTGTAGCCAGCAGCACTAATCAGTGTACTGTGATGGCGTGGAAGTCTCCCTGCTGTCAGAACACTAGAGCTCAGCAGGGAGGATTCCCCCATCAACATTGAGTGTGTGAATTGGGGAATCGGGGCAGTTTTTTTTATTTAACTTGCTGGTTGAATGAAAAAACTGAATCATCTCTGCTCTGCATATGTGTCAAAACAGAAAATTATTCCAGTTTTCTTTCTTAGAAGCTACACTGGGAGGAGAAAATGTAACGTTAAACTCCATGTCTCCCACAAACAACCCATTGTTTATATCAAAGAGGAGGAAATGTTGTGAAGATGGCCGTCAGCACTTTTACATGAATGGGAATTGCGCCAACAGGCCAAGGGAAAAGAATGAAGCAGTGGGGCTGTGGTGTGACCAAAAATTCCTGGACTGCTGCGTCTTTATGGAAGCGTACTATATGGGGCCAGTGGATGCATGCCGAAATAAACAGTGTCATTCCCAACTTCCCAGTCCAACCGACACCTCCCGTGTGACAAATACACCGCTGAACTAGTAATGCTTTTCATATATGACTGATTGGTGGTACATACATTAGCCAATACAAAAATTCAAAACCTTAAAATATTGCCCTGGAGGTCATTACATTGTAATCACAACCTCAATTGCAATCATATAACTCACACTTGGCGTTGACTCTCTTACATTTTTGTTGATGATGCAGGTTTAATAAACTTTTATCAATGTATTGTATATTGGCTTGTGAGCTTTAATTAACACAGCGGATTCTTGAAGAATATTACAAATTAATAGGTTCACCCTGCCATCCCGCACACTGCACATACTCACCTTCACTTGCTGGAGAGGGGAGAAAGGACCCTGTATAAACAACAAATCACTCTGGCCTGAGCTTTCACAGTGCTGATGACCCTTCCTAGAAGACAGCACCCATGCCTTCCTTATATTATAGGATGAGTGGGTCACATGATCCCCATACTGAAAAGTGTGAAAAGTTTACTCTTCACTCCCAAGGTCAAACAGAGCATGTTGGGTTTTAAGGCAAATGAGGATATGTAAAAGAGGCTTTGCATAAAAAAGTCAGTTAGTACTGCTGCGCTATGCATTGGGGGGGGGGGGGGGGGGACAGGGATTTCCAGGGACAGAATGCTGTTAAACAAGTAATTGGGAGCACAGGGATTTCTGTTTGTTCTGGACATTAATACTGAAAATTTTATAGTTAGGCAACTCCTATCCTCATATTGATTAGTGGTTCCAAATAAATAACTACTGCAGTAGGGAACAGACACAAAGAGATACACTCAACATCTTTCCAAGTCACTGTTCTATTTATTCGATGCGTTTGACTTTTTTTATACACATGATTACATAGGCATCACATTAATATTACAATTATACTTTTGTGGTAACAAGGGGCGTTACATAGGCAGGCAAATTTCTAATCAGGACTTGAAGGAATGCAAACGTAATGAAAACATTATTGGCGCTGTGTGCACAATGAGTGTAGTGTACAATACATAGGCAAAGCATACAAAATAGAATACAATTTTATACAGAATTTACAAATGTATTTTACACTGTATGCAGTGGCGAAGGTAGATATTCTTTCACCCGGGGCAAAGACTCAGTTCAGGTCCCCCCCCCTTCCACCAGTACTGGGACAAGGGCAATCAGTGCCCAGGTTGAAGATGCCAAATTGCAGCACTCCCACACAGAAACTGGGGGGTTAATTGGGAAAAATATGGTGGGGTATGCAGTGCACCACACTGAAACATGTAGCATTCTATCCTGCAGTAAAATCTGGGTTAACAGTGATGTAGAAAGTAATGGGATGATTAGGGCAGGGGTAGGCCATTTTTGAGGGGTGGAGTTGTACCTGAACAACATGAAAGAGATCAAAGATGCCCCCTTTTGTTACTTAAATTATAAGGAAAAATAATGAAACAAATGTCACTGTAAAAATATAAATTTAGCCTACCTCAGAAGTGGACAGTGTCAGTCAGTAGAGCAGTGGACAGTGTCAGTAGGATAGTGGAAGGTGTCAGTCAGTAGAGCAGTGGACGTGTCCGCAGGGCAGTGGATGTTTTCAGTAGTTTTTGATTTGCAATTATTTTTTGCAATTTTATTATTTTTGCAATATTTTTTTTTACAATGTTTTAGGAGTCCGGCTGGGGGGGGGGGGCTTTTGTGAAATATTAGGGGTCTAAACAGACCTCTTATGTCTCACTTTTGAGATGAGAAAGGGACTGAGGACAAATTCCCTAGTCTCTTTCTCTGCTGCACTGGACAGTGAATAAATGGGACATGCTCTGTGCTGAGCAGCTTTCTGTTCATTTACAAACTGAAGCATAGTAAACACAGTTTACCATGCTTCAGTTGTGAATGGACACAGGAGTGATTGGTACAGATTTTTCCCTGTGTTCATTCAAAAAGGAAGGGGCTGGTAAATGACATATTTACCAGCCCTTTCCCCTGCTCTCCATCCTGAATAGATCCCTCTCAGCAGCCAGCGGGAGAAGAGAGGAGCCAGTAGAGCTGCAGGAGGGGGGACCTGGGGGCAGCAGAAGAAAGGAGAACCTCAAGAGGAGGGTTGTCATTGAGTGGAACCGATGGGCTGTATTTTTCTCATGCAGCAGCTGAATGCCGGCAGGAGAGAGAGAAGGAGAAGCTGGCTTGCAGCTACTGCAAGAGGAAATTATAGCCGATCAGTTTCACTAAATGCCACCCCTCCTCTCTAGGTTATGATGGCTTGTGCATCTGCTGTGCACATGCTTGGTGGGATGCAGCTGAGCTGAGTGAATGAAGGGAGAACATGACTCACCCACCCGGTCTCCGCTCCCGTATCCTCACAGTCATTATCCCACTCTTCTTGGCCATGGCCAGGATCACAGAGCCTCCATGGCAGACTATGATCTAGATTTGGTTGTGCTGTCCTAGCTCTCTCTGCTCTCTGACCTTCTCCAGAATGCTGACACCCCCGGTGGTGCCTTTCTCAATGCAATGCCTGGGTCACATCTCCCCCTAGTTTTGGCCCCGAAAGCATGGGTGGAATTTAAGAGAACCAGGGATAGGTGTCAGAAAGATAGCCATTGGCGATGTGGGGGGGGGGGCAGGTATTTCCGGGTACAGGACGCTGTTGAACCAGGGATGGGTGGCACAGGGATTTCCAGGGAAGGGATGCTGTTGCAGTATGGATGGGTGTACAGGGATTTTAAGAGAACCAGGGATAGGTGTTAGAGACCTTTCCAGGGACTGGGTGTTGTTCAACTAGGAATGGAGTGCACATGGATTACCAGTGATGGTGTGCTGTTAAACTATACAGTATATGGGGAGCACATAGCTTTCCAAGAACAGGGTGTTTCTGAACCAGGGATGGGGACACAGGAATTTCAAGGGACAGTATGCTGCTGAACCATAGATAGGGGATGACAGGGATTTCTAGGGACAGATTGTTGCTGAACCAGGGATGGGGATTTATGGGCAGCCAGCTAGGAGACAGCCTTAATCCTTCAAAAGCAGCACAAATCAAATACTATAAACAATTCCTGCAGAGCTCACACACAAACCCTTTGTGCAAAAATGAACATAAAAGAAATAAAGACACATATTACAATAAAATGAGACACTCACTCTATATTGCCATCAGCGTGTTGCTTCTGAGATGTGTTGCTTCAATGTTGCCAATGCAGTGCAAGCATGTATGTGCCTAATGATACAATAGGAGCAGAGCAAGGAAGACGAACACTAATCAACTCAAGGCCTGGTTCACATCAATGCCGTGTGCGTTTTGTCTATTTTGAAGTGCCTTTTGCATTTTTGCACATGCGTTTTTGCCACATTTTGAATTTTTAAGCATTTTTTTTTTTTGTTGTTAAAGCGAATTTCTGGCTTCTGCCATCTCTCCCCAAAATAATACTTTTAATATTTGGGCACCTACCATTCCATGCATCCAGGGGTGTCCTCACCCTGAGCTGATTCTTCAATCAGCTGTCGGGTGTTGGTGCCGCCATCTTGACTAAGGGAAACTGGCAGTGAAGCCTTTTACCACCAGTCTCCTACTGTGCATACACAAATCATGCTGCGCTTTGTGAATGGGATGCAGTCCTCTGGGATCTTGGAAGTGTCCCAGAGGCTGCGAGGGGGCCGAACTTCGGAACTCCAGAAGCAGCAGCGAGTACCTGTCAAAACCAGGTACCTGTTCCCCCCCAAAAGGTACCAAATGTGGCAGTGGAGGGAGGGAGGAGGCAGAAAAGCGGAGTTTACACTTTTGGGTGGAACTTTGCTGTAAAGGGGAAATGTTTTTGTTGCTGGGCAGAATAAAAATGCAAAATGCAGCAAAAACAGACTACGTGCATTTCAGCAGCATCTCCATTGATCTCTGTTGTAGCAGAAATGCTGCTTTTTTTGTTTAAAAATGTTCGTGGCCCTTTCCAAAAATGCAGCATCTCAAAAAAGCTAAAAAAAAGCATAGATGTGAACGTGCCCCATAGGAAACCATGTTAAATGGACTGTAGTGCGTTTCAACAAAACGTATTGGTGTGAACCAGGCTTGACACAGACAGGCTTGGCCCTGGCCACTGGGAACAAACATGTATGTAATAGTAAAAAAGTACATTTTATCACACAGATCTCAAACCAAAATCCACATTTTCCCTATTTATGAGATGAGCGACTACATGCGTTCTTTCCAGGAGTTTGTGGAGAGAGATGTGAGGAAATCTAAAACTGAAAAGCATATTTCATATAATTTGACTACACAGGAGAGGCAATCATTAGGCTCCTTGCAGAAAAACACTAATATCCTCATCAGGCCTGCCGATAAGGGAGGTGGAATCATCCTGATGGAGGAGGCACATTATAAAACAGCAACACAACGTTTATTAGGAGATGAATTGACATATTTAAGATTAAGGAATAATTCACGCCAACAATGTTTTGAGGAATTAGATGAACTACTGAAGAGAGGATTGAATCAAGGAATACTTACTGACAAGGAATATGAAATCTGGGTTATTAAAGTGTAATATCACTTTAATAACCCAGATCCCAGATATTATGGGTCGCTCCAGAGGAGTCATAGAATCTTTATGAATTAAAGGAAAAAATAAAAGACTGGTGTATGTTGATTGTTTATACATAGATATTCATATTCCTTGTCAGTAAGTATTCCTTGATTCAAACCTCTCTTCAGTAGTTCATCTAATTCCTGCAATTCTTTTGCTGGCTCGCTGATACATTGTACGTACTGTATATATCGTAGTGCAAGCTTATTATCTGTTATCTCCATTGTAGTGCTGACTTGATGAAAGCTTGCACTACAATATATTAGAAGACACTAGGAGAACTAGGACAATGTGAAATAAGTTGTCATACGAGTAGTACTGGCCAAAGGAAAAGACTCATCTGCCAGTCTATAAAGAAGACCGCCAGGGACTGAACCTTGGAGAACTCTGATATAGAGCATCCCCTAATTATCTGTGTTATAGTCATACTGCATCCCCTGATTATCTGTGTGATAGTCACACTGCATCTCGATTA